TAGTCTAAAATATATTAAAAATTTTTTAGTACTTTTTAAGTTATTTTTATTTTGGTAAGTTTATATATATAAATTTGTCCAAAACCAATTAAATTTAGTTTTGGTTTTGGACGGAGTTTTGGACAGGTTTTGGACATGATGTCCAAAAACCAAAACTGTCCAATTTCTCAGCACTGGGTTAGGGCATGTCCTATAAATAAAATTATCTTTCTAATGTTTTTTATTTTTTTCTTTGTTTTGTCTCATCGAGCTAATCTGAAAAGATTAGATGTTATGATTTGATTGGCTATTAGTCACATGAACATACCTGGCTTTAGACAACCCCCACAATCAGAAATGATCAGAGTTTCATCACCTTTCATCAGTTTCATTACCTTTTATCAGTTTTGTCACCTTTTATCAGTTTTGGCAATTTTCATCAGTTTTGGCACTTTTTGTTAGTTTCGTCATCTTTTGTCAATTTTATCATTTTGTTATTTCAAATTTTTTTTTACCAAAAGATGAAACTGTGTTTCAACTTTCATTAATGATGAAACCTTTAGATTTTATCTAACAACATTACCCAAGAACATATTTCACTTAGAGTTAAAAATTACATTTTACAAATTTACAATATATATAATTTTACAAGATATATAGTACTTAAAAATGGGCAAATTACAGTTTCTCCAAAAATCCTATGCCGAATTCATTAAACCACAAAATTTTAAAGCCTAATTTCATTTAATAGATGGTCATGATTTCTTTACTAAATTTTTAGTTATTGCTGTTGATCAATCAAAATAGTGAATTTCTATATATTTTTTGCAAGGTTTAATAGCAGTAATTACTTTTATCTAATCTAATTTTTGTAAATGATTCCAAATATTATTATTATTATGTATATAATTTATTTTTAAAAGAGTGACTTAATTATAAAGAATATTTTTGTAATGTAAGCAAAAGATACCAATAGCAAAGAAGATAAATTCTTATCAAAAATTTTAATTAAAAATTAGCTAAATATGTTAATGCAGGTCAGATATTATATTAATGCTAGTCAGATATTATGGTAATGCTGATTGAATAATCTTATTTTAGGATCATATTAAAAATCCTGCACAGTATCATGCATGGATTCCACATATGCCCATTTCTAGTTGGATTTATTAATAATGAATATCACATTTACCCACTTTATATATATCTATCTATTCTCTAAATATAAATAATAACCTTTTTTTGCATATATATTTTATTGTCTATAAGCTTTTTTATACAAAGTTTTTTCATTTTCAATATTGTAATATTAATTAAAATTATATATTTTGATTGGTTAATTATCATGAGAAATCACAGGTAGATCTACAATTATGCAAATGTCTTTCTATGACATATTAGGTATGTTTCTTATTTTTGTTGTAATGTGTAAGAATATAAAAATAGTAATGCATTTGTTTTAATCCTGTAATCATTATGATCCCAATGTATTTATTTCTTAATGTGTAATTAATGACATAGATAAATTGTATCCTTAATATTATTTATTAACATTACTATAATATAATCTATTGTGAGATTAAAGTCTTATGAAGCATAATTTCTTTAATTAGATCCAGTTATTATTCATGATACTTGTTACAATAAAAATAATATATAGTGTTAATAAAATAATCAAAAAGATTACTTATGTTTTGTATAAAGTTTTTTTTTATAAAAAGTCAAAATCTTCTTAATAATGTTTTGATATAATTCATCACAGTTAAAAAATCTTAAAAATGCCTTCACATGTTGCACTTATCATTGCAATTAAATTTTGAAAATAAGCACTGCCAAAACACACCTACCTTTGGGTCTCAAAGTTTATAATTTATTAGATTAAAGTATATCAAATGTTATAGCAATAGAATCCAACAAGAAACTAACGAATAAGCTGAAATATATTTTTTCATTGACAACACCTAATATTGTAAGTTCATCACCAATATGGTGTTACGGCAATATAAAAATACGTCATTATGACATACTACAAAATTATTATAATTGTTTTTTTTCCTAAAACTAATTCACAGGCAACTATACAATATTCCTTTTCTATAATAGACTATCAAAGATTTACAATGTTTAAATCATGTACATGTCTGAAATCTACTTACTAAAAATACCATCATAAAGATCTTTTCACAGTATCTAGCTCTGTAATTATTGTTTCCCCGTTCCTGGTTTCGCGCGCAGCTACTTATTGGTAATGATCAATATGTGGCAATAATTGATTCAAGTAATTAGGGTTAATTTGGTTTTTAGTAATAGTGTTGGACTCAAATAAGTGATCCTTTACTTTCTTATTAAACAATTCACTCTCTGCAGCACTTTCACTAATAGTTTCTCTTTTCTTTCTTCTATTAATAAGGATTGAGGCTGGGTCTGGTGATTTGATTTTGCCCAATAAGAGTGAGTCATTAGGTTATGTGATCATAGTTCAAACTTTATAACTTGGTTTATTTGATCACAGATTCTATTATGATCAGTTTTTTTATTATATAAAGAGTTTGCTTACTAAATAGTATTTTCACTTTTCTTTTTCTTAGCACGAAAATAAGATATATGAGAATCATGAAGACAGGATTTAGCAACTGCTAATAATTTGATACAAAAATACAATTACAGAATCAAAAACAAATGAAATAAACGATTAAACGGAAAACTTATTAGAGAATACAACTTCTGCAAAAAGGAAAATCTTTTATATCTTTCACACAATTAATAAATACATAACAATTATGTTCACTATATTAATTATGCTTATCATATTCAATGTATCTACTATGTCTACTATGTACACTATGTTCAAAATGTACAAACATTACTGCTTAAGGTAATAATTGGATACTCTATCAAATTACTAATAAACTATACTTGACTTACATCGAGCATTACTAAAGAAAAGGACAAAAAAAAAATGGATGGAAACCGAAAATGGAAATGAAATAGAAGTACTAGCAAAATAATAAAATAATAAACAATAACAATACAGCCTTTCACAAAGTTGTCCCAAACAATCGTAACATTAGTAACGGTATAATAATTCTAAATTTGGTTATTGATTAAATTAGACTTATCTTGCCGCATGTGCTGTCTTGTGTTCTAGATTATCTGCCTGCTTGATTTAAACTAGAATTGATTTTTAAATTGATGTTATTGTTGTGCGACTAAGCAGGTCACTGGTAACTTGAATTAATGAGTTCCCATTTCGGGTATTACACCGGATTCAATGTCGGGCTGAGCCCTAAAGGCTCAGCTTAAAAGCTGAGCTTTCAGGTGAGATCGCCCTAAATTAGGAAATCGGTTCTGAAAATCTTTTTATACAGTTTGCAATACTTTTTATGCAAGGTCATCGGTGGCTAATTTGCGTTATGGAATGAAAAAAAATTTAACGAACTTGTGGCTCTTGTTATCATACTTTAATAATACGTATCAAGTTAATCCCTTTTAATTCTACAGCTTTTATACGTATATTACTTTCTTTTATTCGATAAATTAAAGCTGTGGGATAACTTGATATTATTAAAGTATGATACCTGAGCCACAAGTTCGTTTTTTTTCGTTCCAATGAATTATGTAATAATGTCGCAATTGATATCCTAATTTAGGACGGCCTCACTTCAACGGCTAAATTTGTATACGTAATTAAGTGAATTAAAAATGTAATCTTTGTGTAACTTGAATAAGCATTAAATACACTTAGCTACGCTTTAGACAACGAACTCTTGATTTTTTGTCCTTTAACCTTTTAAAATGAACAAATTACCAAATGAATGTCTTGAAAAAATATTTAATTACCTTAGTAATTACCCTAGACATTTATTTTCATGTCTTCTTGTAAACCGTCAATGGTGTAGAATTATTATTCCAATATTATGGAGCGAACTAGAGATGGGCAAAATGCGCATTTTGGCCATGCTATGCGCATTATGCAAAAATGCGCATGACAAGCATGATGCGCATTATACACGTGATTTATATTTATATGGTTAGAATAGTTGGTTTACTTTTGTTAGAATGAATTCTTGATAAATTAGCGAAGAGAAATATAAAACTGATTTATATAAAAATCTTTTTAAGACAATGTCTTTACTAATAAATTTTCAACATTGCGAATATTTAAAAAAATTTTATTGTAGAATAGATTGTACTGTATTAATTGAAATAACCATATTGACATATATATCAGCATGCAAAAAATAATCTTTATTATGTATCAAAATACATATTATATATTTGCAAAAATAAAAAAACTATTCATCATTTTCATTATCTACTTCCTTATCTGTTTCACTATCACTTTCTTCAATATTTGAATAGTTTTCAAGCAACTCCTCATCTGCATCTTCAGCTAAGATTTCCTTGTATGAGTCATTCGAGTTATCATCCGTTGAGTCTAGTAGTTCAATATTCTTTTGATAATGTGCTGGTCTATTATTAAACCGTGTTACTGCTTGCGCAATATCTGTAAACTCATGCCGTGGGCAAGTTAGTTTGTAATTACTATATATATACATCAGTTTCAGTAATCGTTCATTAGTTAGTTGTGCTCTTTTTTTTTCTTGAATATATGAGAAAGCTGACCAGTTACGTTCGGAAGCTGCTGATGACGAAGGAATTGAAAGAACTCTAGTAGCAACTTCACATAATTCAGGTGCTAAGGTTTCAAAATTTCCCTTCCACCAAGAAACAGGGTTAACATGCTCAATTGTATTCCATGCTAATTGAAGACTGAATGTGCCCGCTTTAGTTTTGTACTCGATTAATTGCTGCCAAACAATATTCGTATTATTCGGATAATGTTTTTGAATAAATTGTGCTATTAACATCATACTATTTGTAGTAAGTTTTTTTCCGTAATATTTCGGATCTAAAAGATATGCAAGCGCTATAACAGGGTGATATATTTTTTTCCATCGATTTTCTAATATCATTTTAATTTGATCATTTAATTCTAAAATAAAAATGTATTTAAAATTACAAGTTTAATGTATATAATATATAGTCAAATTTAATGTAAAAAAAAATTTATTTACCACCCGACTCTAATAATTCATGATACCAATAATAAAATAATGCTAGCCGTGGAGTATCTGATTCAAATAAAGAAATCCCAACGACCAATCTATCTAAAATTGCAAGAAGACTTTTAACTTCCTTCCAAAAAAATTCATCATTAAT